TAACCGACAGTCGAATCCGTTTAATGCAAGAGATTATCGCCGGAATGCGTGTCATAAAGATGTACGCCTGGGAACAGCCCTTCGCACAGTTGGTCGCAACCGCTCGCAAGTAATGTCACAAATGATATAATTACAATGCCATTACTTTGTCATTACTTATACTTTTTATATGTCTCATTCATTAAAAAAAATCTATACTTTGATTTACGCATGAAAAATATAAAGGGCATAACTAATGACAAACAATTGGTAAAATCAAATGTCGATTGAGAAACGTTAACTCATTATTAGGGCTAGAAATGATATTTTAAATATACATTGCAGTGTAACGTCATTTAAGTGCTTTCATTAAAAAGTAAATACAATACACTGTGAAAACATTGCAATAATACTTTAATATATAATTGTGTCACTTTTTTTTCTATCCATACTCATTATTATGTATTTTTAAATATTTATAACTATGTGTTTATTAATATTATATTATTAATATTATAGTTATTAATACTAAACTTTATATTAATAAACATATAAAAGTTAGTTATAAAAGTTATAAATTTTTAAAAATATCTAATAATGAGTTAACTTTTTAAAATAATATATTATCAATAAAATTAGATCTGAAGTGAAACAAATCCGTTCTTCAAATTATTTGAAAGGCATTAATCTTTCAATTGCTTTTGTGATAATACGGGTTATAATATACGCCTGTTTTCTAACATATATACTGATGGGTGGGATGTTGTCGGCGGAGATAGCCTTTGCCACTATTGCTTACTTTAATGCCATGTTTTGGGCAATGGGCATGAATGTGCCCCAAGCTATTACTGCTTCAAGTGAGCTAACTATAGTCATCAAACGTATCCAGGTTGTGGTATTTTATGTAATTGATTAATTTAATAATCTTTGTTAAATTTAAAATTATTTAATTTTATAGAATTTTCTATTACTCGAAGAGATGAGTGGTTTGGATGAGAGGGAAGGGAAAGACAACGAGGCGTTCATTTCGGGGGAAAATGAGATAATTCTCGGAGTAATGGAAAACA